ACTGGGAGGGCCCCTGCTGAGAGGTGCCAGGAGGGCCAGCAGCCCGAGCGCTGAGTTCACACCCAGCCGGGAAGGGGTGGAGGCCCAGGGTTTCAGCTGGGTCACACCCCAGGCCCTGGGGCCTCTGGACAGATGGTAGCTCCTCTCTGGCGCCCCAGGTCAAGCACCAAGACTCCGCCAGAGTGAGAAGCCAAAGGAGAGCAGCTCTGACCCAGTCCCACCCTCAGCACAGGATGAGGACAGCGGGGCTCCGCACCCCCAGTCTGGGAGCTCCTCTGCAGCAGGCTGCCCGCCAAGGGCTTGGGTGCTACCCTGAGTGCAGTGGTGACAGGGACGGAGGTGTGGCCGTACCACCGCCTGTCTTCCAGGGACAGACAAGCCCCTTGGGTGCACAACACTGTCACAATGGCCCAAGGAGGCCTGGGTGCAGCGGCGCTCAGTGGGGTCTCATCATTCCTGCTGTCCTGGGCCAAGCCAGGCCTCTCTGCCCAGGTGCCACTCAGCCACTGTGCCCTCATTCTGCCTCTTCCCACCTGTTCCAGTGAAGCTGTGCGGCCTGGACCTCGGCCCCAAGGACTGTAGGACTCTGTTGTCTCCTAGCAGGTAAGGCCTGGAATGCTCCGTGGGGTCAGCTGGGAGGAGGGGGGTCCTGTCACGGGCCACAACCCTCCTCTACAGGGGACAGAGCTGAGCACAAGTCAGAGGCCTGCTGCCCGGGGTCACCCTGGTGCTGCCCTGAATGTAGGGCAAGGGCCAGTCTGTTTGCAGTGTGCAGCTCCAGAGCCTCGGGCCCTGCTCCCTTTCTTCACAGTCCTGAAGGGTGAGGGCCCTGCATGTGCCTGGGCTGGCCTGGCTTGATCAGGCCTTGGGTGATGGAGAGCGGCTCCTGCAGCAGGGAGGCCTCTGGGGAGACAAACCCTGGGGTGGCTGATGAGGGCAGCTGCAGGCCAGGGCGCGGCACCTTTCCCTGCAGATCCCAGTGGGTGTGGCTGCCCCACCTCCATGGAGAGGCCATGCAGGCTACACTGTCAGGGAGACTGAGACACACGGAGGGGGGGACAGCAAGAGACCAGCACAGTGGTCCTAGACTGGACTGGAGGTGAGAGCCGAGATCTAGATGTGTTGTCAAGGTGGCACTCGGACGACCCACTGACACAGCAGGGACACCTGTCGGGCCCCCACTGGACCTGAAGAGGACAGAGACCGCCTGCAACTGTTGTCCCTTGAGCCCTGGTTACCCAGTCAGGGCGCCTGCTGGCCAGCACTGATAAGCGCAGGAGCAGGGGGAGCCCTGGGACCCTGGCTGACAAGAGCCTTCAGGACAGTCACTGTCCTGTCCTTCGGTGAAAGCCCCAGGAAATGGGGCCCCGCAGAGTTGGCACTGCCCAGCTCCTGCAGGCTATTCCAGCTGGGGCATCTTCCACCCACAGATGCTGCAGCAGAAGGGCATCCCAGGGGCGCCTACTCACTTCCCAGCTAAGCGCCCACTTGGGGGTCACGGGACTCAGGGATGGAGGCAGAATCACTGCAGCCGCAGGTTCAGCAGCTCCTCACCCCCATCCTATGCCCCAAAGTCAGGTCTGTACAGCTGCAGGGTCAGAAGAAGGCACGAAGAAGAGGTACCAGCACAGGGTGGGGCAGGGGGCTGGCTCAGACTACCCGGTTCTGAGCCGTGGGGAACAGGATTTAGGGGCTCAGGCAGGGGCCGGGCGGCAGGGACCTAGGGCTGCGGCACAGGTGTGAAGACTGCCTCGGCCCGGGTCCTGCTTTCTCCTTCCTGTGGGAGGATTTTGTTACTTTTCCCAGTTCCAACACTTCAGTATTTTTAATTTTCCTTTTTAAGTAACACCATCTCAGAGCTACCCACTTTTCCTCTGGGACATCCGTGCCGCCTCGCTTCACCTCAACAGGAACCGTTCTCCCTGAGCCTGATCCTAGTGGGTCTGTGACCTTTGTGAAGAGGCCACTGAGGACGTGACCCACCGAACCAACCCAGGAGAAGATGTGGAGCCAGGCTGTCCTGGCCGAGAGAGGTGAATGGGGCCCAGGAGCACAGCCCCCAGCAGGGCGAGGGTGAGCTGCCCACTCTGGAGGAGGAGGGGGCAGGGCATGGGCTCTCCAGGAAAGCTGCATGCATACCAGTGGGCAGGCAGCCTGCATGCCAGGGCATTTCACAGGGGCGCTGGCCACATCAGGAGCTCATGGGGCTTCCAGGCAGTGGGAGACCAGGCACGCTGAGCCCCTCTGTCACCACGGCACCTAGAAAGGGAACCACAGTGCTCCACCCAGCATAACACTAGAAGTCAGACAGAGAGCGCTCCAAGGTCAGCAGAACCTCATAGGACACAGCCAGGGGCCAGAGCAGCTGATGCCATGGGGAGGGGGCGCTCAGTTCTGTTTTGTCAAAAGTTACTTTGCACCAGGTGAGGCTTGTTCATGCCTGCCAGGCCTAGCCGCTCCAGGGACGGGGGCAAGAGGCTCACAAACTCAGGCCACCTGAGCCATTCACCAACACTCTCAAAATAAAAAATAAAATAAATAAAAAATAAAAGTAAATAAATTTTTGGGCCAGGGAGATGGCTCAGTAGAATAAGCGCTTCCCTGGTAAGCACAAGGGCCTGAGTTCAATCCCCAGTTCCGCCAAATAAATAAATAAATAAATAAGCAAAATAAAAAATAAAAGGACTCCCTGGGCTCGATCCCCAGTACCACTACAGAGAGAGAGAGTCATTCCAAATTGTGCAATTGTTACCTTCCTGTGGCTGGGGTGAAACAGCCAACCCCCACCAGTTATGACTGTGTGTCACACTTTCGGAGGACCCGGTCCATCGCTGGCCAGCTCTAAGGCAGAAACTGCGCAGCGGAGGGAGAGGAAAGCCGCTCAGAGATGGGGGACAGGAAACAGACAGAAGAGAGGAGCCGAACATGCAGGGCCACAGCCGAGCCCCGCTTCCCAGCTGTCCAGTCTTTCCCATCCCTCTCCCAGTAAAAGCAGCCATGTCTGCGACCCAGGGAAGGGGAGCCGGGCAGGCGTCAGTGACCGCTGGCATCTCCCTTCCCAACCACAGGGAGCCCTCCCTGGCCACCACAGATCCCACGAGTCTGTCACCCCCTTGCCCAGGCCAGCAGCCTGTGCAGGTCTCGGCCGTCGGGACATGGGGGCTGGCGGCCAGGCTCCAACAGGGCCCACTGCAGGCCCCTGTGCAGCCGGCTGCGACCGCATCACAGCTCGGCCAGACTCTCGCTCAAGCAGTCCCAGACGTCGCTCTCCACCAGCAGCACCCTACAGAGGACAGAGCGCAGCCGCGGCTCCACGTGCTCGCCACGCCCTTTTCCTCTCACTCGCTCCTGCTGAGTTACCGGGCACAGAGAGATGAGCACGTTCAGTATTAGCAGGCGTCTTTTTATAAATTGTGCACGCAGGACACCTGTGACAGCAGGCAGAAAGGGTCACAAAAACAGCGCACACTTCTAACATTCACTTTTAAAAGTGTCTGAGGGCGGGCTCGGTGGCCGACGCCTGCAACCCAGCCATTCCAGAGGCTGAGGCAGGAGGATCCCAAGCTTGAGCCCCACCCGGGCCAACACAGCGACACACCGAGGTCTCAAAGAAACCTTTGAGCACCGATACCAAAGGGAGCGGCCTGGACCACACAAACGTGTTTTCCAAAGATCCTGCACAGCTGGCCCCCCGAAGGCAGCTTTCACACAGGAACGAAGAGGCCGCGCTCAGTGGAGGACTCCCAACATGGAGGCGGGAGGGTGCTAGCACAGCACTCCCCAAGCTCCAGCAGAACGGGGGATCAAGCTCAGGCTGAATTCCTCTCACAATGGACGCTGCCCTGCTGGGCTCAGAGGAGGGCTGCCGCCACCTGGAACAGCGGGCGGAGGAGATGGGCCGGCAGGCTCAGGCGAGTCTTCAGCGTGGAAGCACCCCGTTAGGGCAGAGCTCCCTACCCCAGGACCAAAGTTAGTCAGATTTCAGGGCACTATAACCAGTGTGTTGCAGAAAGATGAAAATGAAAAAAGAGAAAAACAAGGACATTCGTGTTTTGAAAAGAAACAAACTTTAAAAAAATAGCCCTGCAATTGGGGTGAACTCTCTAAGGGCCTCTTGCCCTTCACCCCAAAGTCTCTACCCCTCACTCCCCAGCACCGGCCCTGTGCCTCTCTGACTCCACGCGAGGCACCTGAGCCACAAGGAAAGAGCCGGTCCCGGCTGCAGAAGAGCCGCGGGTAGAAACATCCAGGTAACCTGCACTAGAGGTGGTGCAGTTTGAGCTGAGTTTTGAAGGATGAATAGGGGCTCCCTGAGCAGAGAGGAAAGCAACGGGCATCAGGGAACGACAGCGCGAATGACTGCATTGTGCAAAAATGCCTTTTGTGCGAGGAGAAGGACGAGCAGCTGCTTGGGGTGCCAGGAAGGCTGTCCCACACTTGGGGACCCACCACGCCCTTCACGCTTCTCCTACCCCCTGTGCTACTTGTTTTTTCCCTCAAATTGCTTTAAAAGTTCATATTATCCTCAGCCAAAATGCGCACAGCCAGGAAGCTACAGCACTGGCACGGCCACTGATATAACCCTATTATTAGGGTAAAAACTGTCCCCTGTGAGCTGAGCAGGTCGCCTTGCACTCCAGCCTCACTCCCAGACGCAGAAGACCTGGGCCAGACAGGAGCCTGGAGGCCCACGGGAGGAGCGGCATCTGTGTCAACTCAGAAAAGGCCACCACACCCACGTGCTGGTGTGCAGTGAGAACAACAAACACCATGAAAAGAGGAGAAGGCAGCCCAGGGCCGCGCAGCCCTCACTAGACCAAGGCCTCAGCCCTCTGTTATTCCAATTAAAACAAGCACCAACTTAGTTCAGTGTTTTCTGTGTAAGCTTCAATGCCTGGATTTACACTTCACTAAGCACAAGAGCTGAAACTAGGCCAGGCGGCTACCCAGCTTCCCAGGGCCTCATGGGCAGCGGCCAGCGTGACCCGGCCCGTCCTTACCTCCATGCACGAAGCCATGCAGGGTGCAGTCCGAGGGCCCCACCAGGTGGATCAGGCTCGACTGGCTGTAGCTCACAGTGTTGGGCTCTGGAATAGCAAAGGAGAGGGGTGAGGGGTGGATGGACATGTCCTGCAGCCCGGCACAGCCAACAGCGCAAGCACCAGTATCTGTGTGTCCCTGAAGGTAGCAGAGACACTGAAGGCGGCCGACTGCCACCGACAGAGACAGGGCAGAGGTCTCAGGCTGCAACTGGTGGAGAGGACGCCCTCCAAGGCTGAGCGGCACTGTGGCTGTCCGTCCCAATGCACCCGAGGACAGCAGGGCCCACAAGATCCTTCCTGGCTGTGGGCAGAACCACAAGGCAGGCACAGCCTCCAGGTGCCAGGCTGTGTCTGACAGTCACGCACCAGACCCTCACCTCCACTGTTATCAAAAGTGCCTCTGCGTGGCCAGCACCCTCCTAAACTCTCCCAGAGCAGCAAGGATCTGCGCAGAGGTTGGCCATGTGGTACTGGTCATCCTCCCCGCCCGGCAAGGTTAGGGGGTCCACACAGCCCATGCCCGAGCCTTCCTGCAGGCCCAGGCCTCCACCAACTCCTGCTCAGGCAGCTGGGGCTCAGCGGGGGCCCAGCCTCGCCAGACCCTAGCAAGGACAAGCAGCAAGGACGCTGCTGGACAGAGAGCGTGCCCAGGCCAGGTCATCCTGCCTCTCCTGAGGGTCAGTGTCCCTTCAGAGGCTCCCGTGCCCCTCCTGTGTCCCTTCTCAGCTCCTGGGGCCAGGCTTAGTTTCCCAGTGTGATTATATACACATATGGATCTTCATGTTTTGATTTGGATTTTGAACTTCTGGGGTTCAAACCCAGAGAGTGCTGAGCTACATCCCTAGCCTCTGAATTCTTTTTTTTTTTAATGAGACAAGATGTACCTGTTCCTTATTATGCCTAAGATGTTTGAAATGCAGTGAGATAGTGAGGTTAAGATTGATAGCCCAAATCGTTTGTTAATAACAATAAGCTTTTCTTCTGGATGGTTAACAACCTAAGTTTGCAGACCAAA